CAGCTCTCCGCAGCCTGATTTTCCATCTTCTTGGATCTTCCTTTTTTTAGTATTGTTTTAAGTTTTGGATGTTTTATGTGTTTTATATATATTTATAGTTTTAATGTTTTTTGTAAGTCGCCCAGAGTCCCCTAATTGTGGGGGAGATGGGCGGGGGAGAAATCCAATAAAATAAAATAAAATAAATTATGAGCCACCATTTTGTGAGTGGGCAAGACCATTCCTCCATTGCGGCCATTTTGGAAATGGTGTTTGCATCCGCATCATCCAGCCATTTGAGCAGCCTCCTCCAAAGCAAGAAAAGAAAATTAGATTTCCCCCCCTTATTTGTTTAATACCACTGTAAAATTGAGAAATAGCCGCCAATAGCTTAAGTGCTCCATGGTTAAGCATGCAGGAGGAGGCCAGCAGAAACTGGGGCAACCTCACGCAAATATTCCTCCAAATCCTTCAGAAGGTTACGTTGAGTTGCAGCGTTTGGAAGGCTGGTTTGTAAAACAAATCCTTTGATCTGGAGAACAGCAATGAGGGAAAGAAGCAACAGAGAAAAGGAAAGAGAAAGAAACGTCCTTTTGAACCTGTAGAGGCAGGAAATATGTTCGTTTCCTTACTTGTGGCTTTGCCACACTGTTTTTTGAAAAACACACAACCGAGAAATGTTAAGACTTTTCGGAAAAAGCTGTTTCTAGTCTCATAGAATTAGAATCAGGACCTAAAAGGTCATCAAGTCAACTCCCTGCACACTGCAGGACTCACTACACCACCCCAACAGATGATTTTCTAGCTGTAAAAGTTGCACAGGTATGGTATGTATTGGAGGAAAATCATCAGTGAAAGTTTCCAAGTTCATACCATTATTGCTTCTGGGTATTTTCTCTAGCTGTTCAAATTTTTTGTAGATTAGTTGCAAAAGGCATATCTGGCTATGTGTCTGGAATCCAAATCCATATTACTTCAGTTGTCTACAGTATACGTGCATTTGTCCTCCAGTTTCCACAAAGGGCAGTGGGAGAGAAAGGGCTGAATTCCAGATAGGAAGAGAAAGCAGTCAGGGGAGTTACTTGATCATGGGAATACATGCACACTGGGGATTTAAAACCATCAGTGTAAGAAAACATGGTTTTGAAGTCTACCCTTCTTCTTTTTTAATAAAGAATTGTTAGCTTCTTTAATATCATGATAGAAAGATATGCAACAGAAAATAACATTACCACTGGCACCTTCTGCCACCTCAAACTAGAAAGTAAGCCAAAACAAGCACTAAGAGAAATTTAAAAGAAATTCTCAAGTACCTTGAGAATAAGGTAGAAAAACAGAAGCCTCTCTTCCAGGGGACAAAAATTTGGGGAAAATTGGAAGGCACATTTCAGCACAGAATTAATCTCATCTGCCTATGGGAGGAAATAACATGTCCATACCCCTTTATTTATAGAAGTAGGATAGCAGTCATATTCTTCTCATTGGTTGTGTTCACACATTGTATTTTACCTAGTTACTGAAATAATTCATTTCTCATGTTTTAAAAAACAATGAAAATTCAGATGGGACAAGGAGGGGCAGGCCCTGGAAGGGGTGAACTGGTGCTTGTGGGTGTTACTCTGGGGGGCCAACCTTGTTGCACAACTTCTAGATTTGGACATTTCTCCTGCATCCCTTGCTTCTCTGTACCAAGACTGGCGAATCTGAACCCTAACTCTGATCTCTGTCAAAACCAATCCGAATATTTGCAATAACCTGAGATCATAAAACAAGAGATGCAGTACAAAGATACAGGCAAACCTATTCAAGAAACATCATATATTAGGTGGTGGGACCCTTTCAAGGTGATACTTCAATAGTAGAGGGACATGTCCTGTCCCCTGTGACAGAGAGTCCCTGTTTGTTCTGCTGTCATTTGTTTCCAGGCTTTTGGGATTTCTATTGTTAGCATTTCCGTTCCTTTTCCTTTTCATCTTTTCCCGTCTTTCATTTTATGTATAACTTTGGATCTCTGCTGAGTCTCTTTCAACAGCTGCCAGTAACGTGGGCTCTACCTGTCTAGCCAAACTCGAAGTCTTGGATTTGTTTATTGATCTCTGTGCATGTGCGCCAAGGTCCCTTTTCTGCTAAGCATTCAACAGACCAGCAGAAAAGACGAGCTAATTTCGAACTTATATCGAACAAATCAACCCAGCGTTCTCACTCAAGGCACACATGACCACGCTCAAATTATCCTACTTTAGACACATTATGCCAAGACCCAGCTCTCTGGAAAAGGCTCTAAA